TTCGCTTAGTCTGTCGTGCGTGACGCGAAAGAAAACTGCAATAAAAAAAAAGGCTGCGCGATCTCCTAGGGGCAAGAAGCAGGCATCTCGCTCCGAGGATTTCACGTGGCCATTTTCTGGTCACGGTTTTCTTTCATGTCATGCACGACAGACTAAGCGAAAGAGGGACTACTCGTAGTTTATGTCGTAACAGGCCATTACAAAGTAGCGTTCTCGTATGAAAACCAAACCAAAACTTGTGCAGGCGGACATACACATGTAGTTAAAAATAAGTTTTTTTGCCTCAAGAGTCACAATTTAAAAGATTTGGTGTCTTTCAAGTCGGTTTTATATCCAGGTTTTGTTTTGACATCATTTATGTGAATTAATAAAATTAGACTAAAATTTTTACAGCATGCCAATAAAACCCTTAATGCGTTCATGACTAAACTCAGAGATCGGGGAATATTCGGTAGCAGCGCTTTAGTATTACGCATTTTTGCTTACTTTTATACCGTTGTTCTTGTTGTTGTTTGAATTTTATAACATAGAGTGGCCATTTTTGTGGATGGAGGGGTCCAGCTTTGTTATGTGCTTTTGACACTGTTGAACAAAATAATCTAGGTTAAAATTTTTTGGTTATTGATTCAACGAACTGTTTATAATCAAGTATTGAAATAAAATATTAAAGTTGTGAGATTTCCAAAACAACGATACTTGTTTTATTGTAAACATTGTTAACGGGATTGTCGTTATTCTAGTCGAAATATTCAAAACAAACGGTTTTTATACAACAAACTATTTTAAGTTACAAACAAAATATAAAGGAATAAATATAATTAGAATCAACTAACACGAACTGTTGTCCTAGAAGTCTTACCTCTGCATTAACATACTGAATAGTTGAACATTTTATTCACTGATCAATTAAAAAAACTGCAGAGGTGTTGGAAGGCGACGATCCCGGGGGCAGGGCATTTTCCCTCATTCTTCGTCCCCACCCCGGAGCATTTAGACAGCTTCTGTGTCCCCACCCCGGGGAATTTGCCCGTTTTTAAAAAAAAACGCTAATGCCCGGGGGTTAGCCCGGGGGGGGGGGATGGGCACTGCTGGAATTGACTGATGCATAAAGAATTTGACGTGAAAATAGGTTAAAATGTCAAATCGCCCTGGATATGCCCGGCCCCCCTACCCTGGAGCTTACCATTGACTAGTGATAAGCGTCGTGTGACGGCAAACACCGAACATCGGCATGGAAAACTGACCTGCAAACAATGCACTTTGTACACGGTTAAAGTATATATATTACACTTTTCTGGCATCAGTTCTTTACGTCCAAACACCCACTTTTTCGTTTAAACAGCAGATGCCAAAAGCAGGAAAAACATGATCACTTGGTGACTGCTTTGTTTCACGCAAACGTGATGCTTAATCCCTGTAATGTCTGAAAAGGAAAAGAAAGAAGAGAAATCTTTGTAGTTAATTAGCTCTGTCAAATCATGTTTGTAAGCCCTATGTTGGGATAAATAGTGACATCTACATCATTGTTTTATCTTACTGCTTTTTTCCCGTGGATTGGGGGGAGGGGGCAGAGGAGGATTGTCTCTCCCAACCTGCTTGGGCTTTTAACTGGTAATTATTGTCTTCATGTCTCTACCGAATCGTCCACAAGGAGGGGGTGGATATTAACAACATTTGCTGTGTCATTTCTGAAAAAACTGAGACCCCCTTCCCTCTACAGGAGTCAGTTACACATTGCTCAGCTCCCTTTCGACAGTCTTACCATTTCTGGTATCATGACAATGTAACCGGCCACCTCTTGTCAAGATCAAAAATTATCTTATTTTCTAATTAATATTTTATTGGATTATTTCTGGAAAACGTTATGTTAGTTCTTGATGAAGGTTTAGTTTTGAGTCTAAACTAAACTCGTCCAATGTTCATTTTAGAGTGCATCTGCGAATCAAGCAACAGAATCAGGCACCCTTCTACGAAGGGCTTTCGAAGTGTTGGGTGCAGCTCCCTCTACTTCTGCCTCAAGTACGTCTGCTTCTAGTCCATTTTCTGGTATTAGGGAGCTTAAGCAACCAGGACGACGACCTGAGGGCGATGACCAGAAGTAACGTGAACGTCACTGCGCATGCGCAAACCAAGAATTCTATCGTCATCTTGTCGTTGATGACTTGAGAAGGACCTGTGTCACGTTGTTGTGAACTTCTGAACTTCAAAGCACTTTTCCTCATTATAAGGTGCGTGTTTATCAACGTTTTTTTGACAGTCTATGGCCGGTGGAGTTTTTATTCTCTTCTTCGGTTGATTTAAACCTCCCTGTTCAGTTTTCTTAATAGATATAAAATTCTAAAACCGACTAACTCATTTTTTTTTCCTCAACACAACATATGTCTGGTCAAGGGGTGAAAGTGACCACGTAAGCTTAAGTTTATTTTAGTATATTTTATGAAAGAGTGCTGTTTATCATTTTTGTTGAAAGAAAAGTTTTAAATGGCAGTACAATATAGCTCTGCGTTCGGTCAAAAGCTGTGTGTAAGAAACTCCCGGATTACTTGCTACTAAAAAATTTTGCGTTTTGTTCTTTAATGGAGACGCTCTTAAACAGCGAGGAATTCTTGAGATCGGTGTGTTTACATAAGCTTGAATATGTACCTGTCAGGTTTTCCGAATCTATTTTCGAAATGTTTGATTTATAGAGTTTACAGCCATAGCCCTGACCCTAACCCGACAAAATCACGGGAAGAAAACAATATTCTTGTGAGAAGCGTGACGACTGTTATCTGGGCCGATTGCAAGAATTGATTAAATTGACAGACTTACGTCGTTTGCTCGCCAAAGGAAGGAGTATCAAATGTAGAACATATCAGCCTAAAGCATGTTGAAAATCAGGAAAACCTTTTGCCAAATAGATTTGTTTATATCAGCAACACCTAGAACTGAATTTAATTCTGAAATAACTTTCGTAAAATTTAATATTTTTAACTTTTGCCGCCTGGATATTATTATAAATGAAGCTGAAGCTTAATAATTCCTTGAAGACTGTTGATGTTCAAAAATTGAATAACCTGCTTTCGAACTTTCCATATATAGGTGCAAAATTTCTCCGCAAAATTAGATACCGTTTTACAGCCAAATGTCTGAAACATTAAAATTCTAGTACTCTACAATCTGAATCTTTTCTATTTATACTTTGGCAGAAATCCGAACTTTGTTTGGAATAATGACCACGACATAGCTATGTGCCGAGAAGTCCTCGTAGAAGAACCGTACTGTTTTAAAATGAGAAGTACCAAAAGAGGCCAGGCATGGGAATCAATAGCAGAGAATTTAAACGCAATGCCATCCCTAAAGCCTAGAGTTACAGCACAGTCTATGCGTGAACGGTATAACTTACTAACTAAGAGAATGCAAGCTAAATTGAAGATGGAGGAGAAAAGCACCGGTATTGATGTGGAAACTTCGGAGCTTGATGTCCTTCTAGAGGAAATTCTAGAAAAGGAGAAAGCCGCCAAAGAGAAGATAGAGAGCAATGATGGAAATAAGCGAAAAATAATTGAGAATGACAAGACAGCAGCCGAAGATATGCGTCGAAGCAAGCGCTGGAACGTATGGGGCAAACTGCTAAAAGAAAGAAAGGAGGCGATGACTCAGAAGCTCCAAAAAAGAAGATTCGCAGGAGCACAGCAGATGCTGTTGAGTATTTAAAGGAAAGGCCTGCTAAAGAGATTGCTTTGAAGGAGCAAGAATTGGAACTGAGGAAGAAAGAACAGGAGAACGTGATGGAGAGGGAGAAAGAAAAAAACCAACATCAAGAAAATTTGATCTCCACTATGCTTCAACAACAACAACAGCAGCAGCAACAGATGATGATGGCCATGATGAATCAACAACAGCAACAGTCGCAGGCATTGTTAACTTTTATGGAAAATTTATTCCAAAATAATTTTTCCAGGTAGTTCGCCAGTCGATGAACAGTTGAGTTTAGTATTGTACGCCTCATTAGAAAATGTCTATATTTTAGTATCAGTGATTAAATATATTTTATATGGATTACATTGATATTTAATACTTTGGCAAACATCTTACAGTTGTGTTCATAAACTCTTTCTTAATACAGTTGCTGGAGACAATTGTTACATGCTCTCTTTTCAATGTGAAAGCAATTGTTAAAAAAAAAAATTTTCATTGACTTAACTTGGAGAAATACTCTTCTAATGTTGGTGGATCAATATTACAAAAAGTAGATGTATTGTTGCCATAAAGACAGGTTAAGGCATTTTGGAGAAGAGCAGAAACAATATACATTTTGCCGATGCTACTAAGTCCAAGTTTTAAATTTTTCTTGAAGTCCAAAAACTTGAAATAATTGTCCCCAAATAGCCATTCCACAGAAGACCTTACAGTAGTCATTGCTGTATCGTAAGCCTTCATTTCGTCAGTCAAAACTCCAAATCTGAAAGGGCCCTGAAGGTGCACCCTTAGCGGATAGGCGGGATCGCCGTAAAGGCACATTGGCTGACCACTACGAGAAAAAGCGTGCTGCTGCAGGCCTTGCATCAGTCCTGAATCTGTAAGCATTGACGCATCATGTTTTCTGCCTTCTGAAACAAGCAGATGAGAGAAAAAAATTAATAACGGGACCAAATTAATTTCACAGGGAATTAAACACAGACACGTAACATTTCTATTTTATGTAAAAACAAATGTATATATTATATATATAATTAGCTGTAATACCAAACGCAGTTTAGACCCCTGAAGGCGTAAGCCGAAACGCATCGGGTCAATAAAGGATTCAAATGAACAGATGTAGTCCATTCTCCTTTGTACAAACTACATAATCTTTTGGAATGGCGACTACGACACGACAAACAAGAAACAAGAAGAACAGAACTCAGGACGAAGAAATGCTGCGCGTGGAGACAAATGAGTGCATGGAAGACAGCAATAATGATGTCACACCATCTGCAAGTTTTATCACAGCAAGGAATCGGAATTCAGAACCAACAGAGCTTCCAACGGAGCTTGGGTGGAAGATATACAACATCAATGAAAAAAGCATGAAGATGAAGCTACATACGGACTTCCTTAAGACCTGTATAGAGGAAGATATCATCCCGAAAGGGTTGACTGTCGAATTAACATCGACATTAGAAGATAAAGACAATGAAATTTTCAACAACAAATGGAAGCAAATTTTAAAAAACTGCTCACGGGAGCTTATGTCATGCCTCGTTGAGCACTATGAGAGGCAAATAACACTAAATGCGACTGTGATAGTGGATGCTTATGAGTCACTTGACAAGATAGAGGGCTGGACTGAGAGGGATAAACAACAATTAAAAGAGGAAGTAAAATCGATAATCAACGGTAAAGAACAAAAGATAAAAGAGGCAAAACAAGAGAAGCTGGAAACACCCTGCAAGAATAAAGAAACAGTGCAACCCCGAGACAGGAGAATGAAACTTATGCTGATGTTTTGAAGAGACACATCTGCGAGAGATTGAACCCCAGTTGCTCTGAAAAAAGAGAGAGCACAAGACCAAATAAAGGAGATGGCCAAGGGAGGGGCAACGTACCTGCTAGACGAGAAAACACATGGGGCCGCTCACACTATCCACAACAGCTAAGGTATTTTGAACAGCGACAACGCTTTTTAAAATGGCACCCACCCAACAGATCCAGATAAAAAGACTAGACTACAAATTTCGTTGAAATAGATTCACCAGTAACCAGACTTTGGAACAGAAAAGGACAACGCACAACGGAAATTTCAAAATAACCAAACTTAATGGATCATACAAAACAGAAGAAATTTTGAAGAGACCAATAGTAAACTTATCTGATATTCAACTCACTCAATCAGAAACAGATCTACTTCAGAAAGGACTGAACTTTTGTCCTACACCTCCTCTTCCTACAATAGATCATATTAACAAGGATATTGATGCCTTTGCTCGCAGACTGAGCCTCAGGGAATACCATACCCCAGAGAACATAGATGAAATAACTGACAATCCCGGCTACCAACCCACAATACTTGAAAAGCTGAACCACAGGTAGCAAAAGACATACTGTAGACCCTCACGAGAACCATATTTGAATACATATATTGAAAAGCTAAGACAAGAAATCACCAACAGAACAGTACATAATTGTCGTTCTCAACGCAACAATCTTAGTAAGTGTGAGCGATTAGCTTTGGATAGACTACGTACTAATAGAGACATAATTATAAAACCCGCAGACAAGGGCGGAGCTACAGTTATTCTCAACACAACCAACTATCTACAAGAGGCGAAATGCCAACTAGATAATGACACGTATTACAAGAGGATAGAAGAAGATTGCACATCGGTACATGAACAAACGATTAACCTTTGCATAGACTATCTCATGAAGAACGGAGAAATACAACACGACGTAGCAAAACTTTTAAAACCTGCGCAATCTAGAACCCCAATATTCTACATGCTCCCTAAAATACATAAAATCAATAACCCTGGCAGACCAGTTATCTCCTCCGTTAACAGCCACACGGAGAAGATATCAGCTTATGTGGATGAATTCTTAAGACCTATTGCAGAACGATTACCTTCCTATATTCGTGACACGACAGACTTTATTCAACGAATGAAAGTCTCGCGGAAAACTACCCGTAGAATGTTATCTAGTAAC